TTTTGGAACTCCACAAAATCCAACGAATCAAAATCCCATTAATTAAAATAAATTTCATCCAATAAACTTGCAAATTAGCCATTATCCCATTGAACTGTACCCCAAGAAATCCAACTTCTTACCTACTTGGATTATGCTATAGATGCCAATCCAAAATTGCAACATACTACAATCCAAAATATCACTCTTCTTCCCAAAAATTGGCTAGATAAAATTGTTGAATCACACATGAATAAAATATATTTCAACAAATACTTTCGAGAAATCTACACTAGCAAAATGAATAATGTATGAAACGTGATAACAAGAAAAATTGTGAAGTGTATTTAACCATTGGGTTGTCTAACATGTCATAAAAATGTAACAAGGTAAACACAATAATGTAACACAATGTAAAAAAATAGGATAATCTTGAGTACTTCTTCCATTGCATCTTTCCATTTCTCATATTTAGAGCCATTCATGACCTTTTCACAAGTTAAGGTTCTGAATATTCTACAGATTCACCAGAGATAAAGGTAAAGTCAGTCAAGTTATTTATTTCATATCTAGGATTTGGTTTGACTTGTCTCCTTTTCCCATCTCTAACCAATTAATAATCTTAAGTACTTGCTTTGACAATGGGAACTCTTAGGTTTTCAATTTCAGTCTCAACCTCAGCTTGAGGTAGATCTACTTTATTTTCATCCGTGTTAACAACATTTTCATCAGGTTGTTGAACACCAGCTTCAGTATTTTCAAGTTGAGCAGGATTTGGCCTTGCTAGTTTCACTTCACTCTGTGAGTGGTCTCTTTAGTTTGCTCCTTTGGATTACCAATTTTATTTGTTATACATGGCATTTTAGATTCATTAAATACTACGTTTCTGCTATTAATAATCTTAATGATTTGTACACCCAACACTCACTACCTGTACCCTTTCATACCTTTCGGGTAGCCAAGCATAGCACACTCAATAGATTTAGGGTCTAATTTTCCCTCAACCTAATGTGCATATGCCGTACATCCAAACATTTTAATGTAACAAAGGTTTGGGGGCTTCCCAATCCAAATTTCCTATGCAATCTTGAATCTAATAGAATTACATGTAGTAACAACCTCAGCCCAAAACCCCTTAGCTAATCCAGAACTAATTAGCATACATCTAAACTTGTTCGTTAGAGATCTATTCATTCTTTCAGTGATCCCATTCTGTTAAGGTGTGTGCTTAATGGTTCTATGTCTTACAATTCCTTTTTATTACAGAAGTTATCAAACTCAACATTACAAAATTCCAAACCATTATCAGTTCTTAGAGCTTTTTACCTCTTATCAAGTTGATTATCAACCATCTTTAACCAAGATCTGAATTTCTTTACATATCTCATATTTAGATTTTAAAGGATAAATCCAAACCTTTCTTGAGTAGTCATCAACTATAGAAAAGAAGTACTTGTTCCAACTAGAGGTAGGGTGAATTTTTGATCCCCATAAATTTGAGTGGACATGGTCTAGGGGCATAAGCTCACCCGATGTGACTTGCCCAACACAAATGTTTCACAAAATTCAAGAGGTTCAATCATATTTTTCCCAAGTAATTCTGAATATTTAGATAATTCAGACCCTTATTTCCTATATGTCTCATTCTGTTATGCCATAATTCATATTAGTTTTCCGTTATGGCCAAA